TCTCTCTGCCCCTTCCCTGCTCATTCTCTCTCTCTCTCTCTCTCTCTCTCTCTCTCTCTCAAAAATAAACAAACAAAAAATCAAAAAAGGTGTATTTAAGAAAAAAGTTGGATATTCATTAGTTGCATTGCTCTTTTCAGTTTTACGATCATACATAGCATGTCCCATGGGCTTTAAAAACAAGATTTTATAGATCTGATTATTTGTGTCTGTTCTATTTACCTATGTTCTCTACTCTGACAGTGCAGTCACTCATTCATCCCACAAATACTTAATGATTCTCTGCCATGTGCTGGGCAATATAACTGTGCCTTTTGTTCCTGTTTTTTATACACAGTGAATTCCAACTTATCAAAACACTTGGGAGCTCATATGACTCTTCATTTGTCTTATCTGGATCCAGAGTAAAAGGATAAAGCCTTTTCATCTGTTCTCTTGTGAACGCTCTTTCTAATATTTAAGGTTTCCTTCTTGTTGGCTGAACTCCCTTGGTGGGCAAGGGGGAGTCCAGGGCCCTGGGTCAAAGTTGGGTGTGAGAATGGGTCTGGACATCACTCTAAGAGCAGCTGGGAATCATGCAGAATGTAAGTCAGTATTCATGACGAGATGGACCAAGGACCATGGAGCCTCTCGGAAACAAGCATTTACTCAGAAGGCCCCAAATGGGGATGTGCGGTCTCTCAGGGGCTGAGGCAGAGGGTCTAACTTGGGACCCCCAGGGAAGAAAGCTGGTTTGGGAGGTAGGACCTGGGAAGACCCTGGAACCTGGGGACAAAAGCACCTGTGTAGACCCTCTGTGCGGTTCTTGAAACCACTTAGCTGGTTTTAGCCACTTCTAGTGAAAATAAATTTAAACTTGCATCAAAGATGGAAAACTCCACACGGTCCTTCAGGGTTCATGTTCTAAACATTAATTTTTATTCTTCAGTTCTGTCCACATAGGTGGTGTTGCAGGAGTTTGGGTGCACCCAGAAGAAACCCCAAAAGTTGTCATCCTGCAGACACCCCCGATTTTCTTGTGATTTGCCTCATTCTCTTAAAAGTCAGCTGTGTCAAAGTTTCCCGTCTGCTTAGCACTGCACGCTGCACGTAATCACGGTTCTCAGTTGTTGCTACATGGCTGTTCTGTGCTTTGTTCTGTGAGACTTCCCCAGTGCTGCCTTCCACTGAGGTCTCTAGCTCGCCCTGGGGTCTGCTCTGCTTTGCAAAGGCCTTAGCAGAGGCAATTTGCAAATGACCAAATTAACCCTTCTTAAGTGATTGAAAACATAAGATGGGGAAAATCTAAACCAGCTTTAAGCAAAGTAATATAAATTGAAATGTGTATATTCCTCTTTTTTTCTCTTATTCCTTTTTTTTTTTTTAGTGAACACATAAAAATATCTTAATTCATACCTATCTCAATGTCCAGCTCATGCATTGTGTCCTGTTCCTCGTGGGTGGGGCCCTTCTCTCACTCATCCTGTACCCAAAGCACCTTGCTCAGTGTCTGGTTCCAATTAAGTGCTCAGTAATGGGTTGAGCAGAATGAATTAAATTAACCAGTAATACCACAAGTTCAGCAAGAAATAAAAATCTTATATAAGAAATTGGGGGTAAAAACTTCCCACTACAAATCACCCAAAAATACTAAGTAAGGTATAACAATGCTGCTTTAAAATGCACAGCTGAGATTTCAAGAAAGTAAAAAAAAAAAAAAAAAAAAAAATCTCAATAAAAGAGCCGAGAACAGGTGCCAGGCAACAGGGGCGGCTGGTTCCCAGGGCAACTGCTGGGTCATCATGAAGAGCTGGGATGAACGGCTTCCCAGTGCAGATGGTGGTGGGCGGCTGGAGTGGAGAGCTAGACCAAAAATCAGACCACAGAGGTGACAAAGAAAATTTTCTTACCTGCATTTGCTTTCCAGGAGGAAAATCTAAAAATCTGTCACCTCAGGTGTGTCCCCCCGAAAGCTGGGTTTTCCCATTTGTGTCTTCTGCCTGGTACAGAAACCCTAAGCTGGGACATTCACGTAAAGTGTCCTGAACTGGACGCAGCGGGGGTGTCCGGCTCCGGTACACAGGTGCTTCTGGAAGGAAGCATCTTCACCCAGGCCTCAAGTGCCCACAGATCAAGTCCGAGGACAAGCTTGTCTCCCCAGTGCACAAACTACACAAAGAAGGGGCCACTGTGTGTGCAAGTCCGCAGGTACCAAAGTGAGGCTACATCCTCAAAGCTTCAGATAATGAAGTGAGCAGGCATGAGTACATTTGAAATGTTTTTGAAAAAGTGGAAATTAAAAATATAAACCTGAAACAAGATGCTGTAGCCAGAACTTATCTGGGAAAAAATCAACCTAAAAATAAAAGTCAGGAAGATATATTACATAGGAGCTCCGAGGCAGGCTTTGCAGTGAGGAGTGTGGGCACCAGGGACGCAGCACCGGATGCGGTAGGGAGAGGGAAGCACTCGGGAGGACAGCTGGTCAGTCTGACGGCAGGCCTGGCAGGAGAACATGCCATGGCTAACAGCCCGGGTGATGCACCAGTTCTCCAATGCGGAGAGCAGGATCACCCCAAATACAGAGAGAAGGCCACGGCCAGGCAATGGTGCCGATGCCAGAAAATGCCAGAGACCAAGAACAGACGGCCCCCTGCATGCACAAGAGCAGCAGGACAGACAGCAGGTGCCTTCCAAGGGCCTGGAGAAGACGACCGTCCACTCAGACCGTGTTGAAGCTGAACTTCCACCCAAAAACGAAAGGGAAGGAGACATCTCAGAAAAACAAACCAACAGGATCCACAACCAGCAAACCCTCATTAAAAATGCCCAAGGAATGTGCTTCAGGGGAGACTATGAAGCCAGAAAGAAGAACTGAGAATCAAGAAATAATGTAAGCATAGATAGATAAGGAAGCCTAGCAAAGACTTGACTATTTAAAGCAACAGTAGGGACATCTGGGGGGCTCAGTTGGTTAAGCATCTGACTTTGGCTCAGGTCATGATCTCACAGCTCGTGGGTTCATGTCCTGCATTGGGCTCTGTGCTGACAGCTCAGAGCCTGGAACCTGTTTCAGATTCTGTGTCTCCTCTCTCTCTGCCCCTCCCCTGCTCACACTCTGTCTCTCTCTCTGTCAAAAATAAAATTAAAAACATAAAAAAAAAATTTTAAGCAATGGTAAAATTAGGCAGAAGGCACTAAAAAACAAGGTAAAGTAAATACTGGACAGCAAATAACACAGTTGACGGGGAGATAAAAGTTACACGCAGCACGTGCACAGAATAAAACTAAAACATCAGAGCAATAGCACGAGGTACTGATCACATGCACACACCCTGTGAGGGCATCATGGGGGTCAGCACCCCAGCATAAGCAAAGTGGTTACCTGGGGCATCCCCGGGGTCTGACTTAGTTGTCGTCCTGGTTTTGGTGACTATTGGTAGGTATATTATAGATGTATTATATGTATATAACATATAATGTATATTATAGATATGTATTTGTATTATATTAATATGTATGTAACATATTACATGTTATGTATATATTAGATATTATATGATATGTATACATTATATTGTTTTCTATGCTTTTGGTAGGTATAAAATATTGCATTTTCCGTTATTTAATGTGAACTCTGACCACAAAACAAAATCCCCAGTCCTATTTATAATCCCTCACTCAGTACAGAGAATAGAAAATGGACAAAGACTTAAAATTAGAGTTTTCAAAGACACTTTCAGAATGCCAGCATGCCCTCGCGTCTCTTCTTGAGCTAAAAAGAATGCCAACAGTGTCATCACAGGTGCAGACTCCTTAAAGTCTAAAACGGGGATCTTTCTTTGCGTCTTAAGGTTCAACAAGGAAAAATCCTCCTGATATCAGATAATACATTAGCTTGCCAGGTTGAACTTCAAGCTAATCTTGATTGCCTGAACTATTTGAGAGGCTAGACTAATTTATTTCATTTTCTCATTAAATCTTAACTAGAAACTCATTTTTCCAAATATTATAGTTTACTTCTGAAATATGTGATTACAGTATTGAGCCTCCAATAACAAGGGTAACAGAGAGGGAAAACCCTTGTTGAAGGCATCACCTTGATGTTAAGAACAACACAGGGATGGGTGGTGGGTGCAGGCCAGCCTACAGGGGTCCGCTGGCCTGTGGCGGTGGCCGAGCCCCGTGAAGCTGCAGGAGCAAAGGCCTCATCGGGCCACCCCTCCTGCCCCAGCCTGCACCCGAGTTAGCTCAATGGCCCCAGGGTGAGGGCTCTGCTCAGTGTGTCCCTGGTGGGCACAACCCCTCTCTACAGTTTAGAACTAAGCTGGTGTGAACCGGGCTATGGAGAAATCAGGGCCAGTGCAGAATGTCCCATGGTCCCCACTCCCAGGGCCCAGGGCACTGTAAACCCAGTTAGGTCAGAATACATTTGCAAAACCAGCCAGTTCCTGTGGTTGCTGGGGCTCTCTCATAGGAAGCACCCCTCCAAACCCCTCTGGTCTCAGCAGCAGAATAGTGATCAGACAGTGAAGCTGGGAACCCCTTCAGGTCAGTCTTCTCCTTGCTCCATACAAAGTCATCCACAATGAATTTTAAGGAAAAAGGTGGGCATTTAAAGAGGTGAATAAAATGTCTGGGTTCAGAATGGAGGTAGGCTTGGGCACCTGGGTGGCTCAGTTGGGTAAGCATATGACTTCGGCTCAGGTCAGGATCTCATGGTTCGTGGGTTCAAGCCCCACATCAGCTCTGCTAACAGCTCGGAGCCTGGAACTTGCTTCAGATTCTGTCTCTATCTCCCTCTGCCCCTCCCCCACTCGGACTCCATCTCTGTCTCTCAAAAATGGATAAGCATTAAGAAGAATGGAGGTGGGCTGTGAAGTGACACTGTCTCTCGTGTGCCCGGCCATCAGCAGCCAAGAGCCTTGCATGAAAGGAAGCATGTGGCCAGATGTGGGAACCTATGCTTTGTCCACTGCTGGCCACCAAAAGCTCACATGTGTGTTTTTCTTTCTTTGCAGATTGCGTTTTACGTTCTGGTGAAAGCCATTTACACGCTGGGCTACAGTGTCTCCCTGATTTCCCTGACAACCGGAAGCGTAATTCTTTGCCTCTTCAGGTAAGTATCAGAAATGAGCAGTTCTGCAGTCTGAGACCAGAAATTGTCCATTTAAGCCGTCTAGGCCCATCAGAGGAGGACAGAAGGTCACTGCCTCCAAGCCCTCTCTCTCTGTGTTAAAGCAATAAAACTCCCTCGGGCAATGCTTGTGTGAAATATGATGCTAATATTTACATTTTTATTTAACTATTCTGCATTTCTTATATAAAGAGATAATACTGCCTTTGGACAAGAATTCAGTTCAACTGCTGTTTACTGAATGTTAGCCATTGTGCAAATCTTTTGAAAATACAGAAGCAATGTGATCTCACCCTTGCTACTCAGAAAGCAGCTACATTTGGGGCATCGGTGCTTTATTAAGAGACACTACACTGTGGTCAAGAGTATGAAAGCAAAGGTCAGACTGCCTGGGTTCAAGTCCTGGGTCAGTCTCTTAGTAGCTGTGTGACCTTGGACAAATTACTTAACCTGTCTATGACCTGTAAAGTGTGGGTGCTAGTGAAGCTCTGTGGCATGCAGTCAGCACTCTAAATTTTGCGTTATTCCCCTGCTGGTGAGGTTAGAGATCCCCCCTTACCTGAACCGCTGGTAGGTCTTTTCAGTAACTAACAACATACACTGCATACAGCTGGTTGGTCAGGGTTAGAGTTAGAGGCTTTGGTTTCAGAACAGAAGCTTCTGGCTTGAAACGCTTGAGTATTACTAGCACCAAATAAACTGGATGATATCCCACTTATTTTAACAGGGATTTAATCTTATCTTCACACAGATTCGTTCAAACATTGGCCAGTATTCAGATAAAATAAAAGATAAAACAAATGGAATATTTTAGAAACTAACAGACAGCCCATTAGGAGATCCATACTTGGAAGTAAACAAGTGAAAACTGATGAAGAACGCAGCTGAGAATCCCTTCAAATGTAATAAAGTCGTTTATTTTTTTCAGGCATCTCAAACATATCTAGAGGGTAGTAATTCTCAGAAAGAGTACATCAGTACCTTTAATCCAGAACCGTGTGGGGTAGTCACCATCATATTCTAGTTCTGAAAAGAAAAGGAACAACTCTGGTGCAACATTGATATCTGTTCTATCTTTCGTATTTTATTATGTATTTTTAAATCTTCAAATGGTTAAAGATTAAAGAAAAAGAAAGGAAAAATGTAGGGAGGTAAGCTGGTGACTCAATAAGGGTAACTTGAACTAGAAGAATTTCAGCTTATGTTTAAAGAGTTCCCATCTTGAACAATCCGTATCCGTGGCATTGGCGATTTCTCTCAGATTTGTGATACATGACATACTGAATTAGCCAGCCTAATGGCATTTTGGAAGTTTTGCAAATGTGGATGTGGGTCCTTAAGAGAATCTCAGATGGCATCATGAGTATCAAACAGTCTTTTATACTTGGACCTCATTAGTCACCCACTGGTGACACTTGGTTAGGAAAAGACATGTCTGCTTCGGTGTCATTCTGCTGCTGGTTCGGAGTGTCACGGCCGCCAGGAAAAGTGTCCAGAGCTGATGTGCAAGCCCTCAGGTCCGCCTCCACCTTGGGCCACAGAGGCGCTTACGCTGCTGCCTCCATCTGTCAGCTGCGCTTATGTGTCCCATGCCACAAGTGTCGATTTCAAACTCCCGACTGTAAAACTAACTCCATTTCCAACCCAGTAATGCCACTCAGGAAACAGAATTACTTACAGTCGTGAAACACTTGCTGTTCATAGTGGCCTCATAGCTAAGAAAGCATGAAGTAACCATGTTCTTCTTTTACAAACACAGAAACGGCGTGACGTATCTCCTACGCCAAGTCCAAAGTGCAGCATAGACTTGAATAACAAACACACGACCTAGTTTTGCATGGGATTCGCTGGGTGGTCGTCGCAGCCGCCATCTTTGAGTGCGTGTGAGGTCCAGGCACTTGACAAAGCAGCTCCAATCCCACGAGCCCGGGAGTAACCGCGCCGGTTGCTAACACAGACCACACCACACACTCTATAGGTGTTTATTAACTCAGTCCTTACGTTAGCTCAGGCAGGGAAGTGCCACTGCTGTCCCCGTCCTACCCGCGAGAGGAGGGCAGCCCACAGAGGTGCCGAGCACCCAGCTTGCAGAACTGGACAGATGTGCCACCACCCGCCCCTCCCTCCACCCTCGGGAGTTGTTGGGGTTCCGTTCTAGCCGCCGAGCCTGAGCGGGCTCCAGGGCGGCTTCTCTGGAGGCCACGGTCTCCGCCCCACCCTTCATCCAGTGCAGATCCATACTCGGAAGTGAAATGTTACACTGAGCGCTGAGGGATAAAGGACTCAGCTAAGAAACTCAGCAAATGTGTGGGGCGCCTGGGTGG